TTTATCCCTCGTCTCTATGAGAATTGGGTCAAGCACCGAACCAAACAATGCCCCGCCTTTGAAAGGTGTGGAAGCCAGACGCCACCTGGACTTAACATCGGCCTGCCAATGGCGGAGCCACAGCAGGCGCCGGGATGCCACATTGGAGACCACAGCCCGGGAGGCAAATTTTGCAGCATTAAGTGTGGCATCCGCTGAGAACTCCAGGGCTGCCATGATTTTGGTAACGTCTTGGTGAAGACGCACGTCATCAGGGGCAAGCCTATCCTGCAACTGCTTGAGCCAGAGCATGGAAGTTCTATTAAAAAAGGATGCTGCAAAACTGACAAAAAGGACAAATATAAAAAGGGGAAAGAGGGGCACATTACTAAGGCAACAGATCATAATGAACAAAAGCTTGCATAACAAAAAAGAAGCTTCTTTCAACATGTTAAAAATAAGGAAAAAGTCAAGGAAACAATTGGTCCATTGGTGGGAGAAAGAGGCAAGAAGGTAACAAAGCAGAACTACTTAAATCATTTTTTGCATCCATTTTAATACAAAGGGAAACAACTATCCAACCTATCAAAAACAGCACCCCAAAAAACAGATTAGGAACACAATTTAAAATAGGGAAGAAAATGGTAAGTGAGCACCTGTCCACCTAGTTCAAATCAATGGGATCAGATGGATTACACCCCAAGATTCTGAAAGAATTGGCAGAGGTGATCTCACAACCACTGGACTATATCTTTCAAAGATCCTGGAGCACCGGGAAACTGCAGAGGCCTGGAAAAGAGCTGATGTAATTGCCATCTTCAAAAAAGGAAAGGAAGAAAAAATAGATCCAGGAAACTATAGACCTATCAGCCTGACCTCAATACCAGGGAAGATTCTGGAAAAGATAATCAAGCAATGAATCAGCAAACACCTAGAAGCAAAGAAAGTAATAATCAAAAGCCAACATGGGCTTATCCAAAACAGATCGTGCCAGACTAATCTTATTGCATTCTTTGAAAAGTGACAAAATTAGTGGACCAGAGAAATGCTGTCGACATAATTTACTTGGACTTCAGTAAGGCATTACTTAAAGTAGACCATAATCTATTACTTGATAAAATAGAAAAATGTGGGTTAGACAACATCACCACCAGATGGCTTCAAAACTGGCTGACCAACTGCATTCAACGTGTAGTCCTCAATGGAACTGCAGCTACATGAAGTATGAAGTCTCTGTTTTAGGCCCAGTCCTCTTCAACTTCTTTATCAATTATTTGGAAGAGGGGATAGATGGGGAACTCATCAAATTTGCAGATGACACCAAGCTGGCAGGAATAGCCAACACTCCAGAAGATAGGCTAAAGATACAGAAGACAGACTTGAACATTGGACATTATCTAACAAAATGAAATTCAATGATGAAAAAGTAAGATTTCTACATATAGGCAAGAAAAATAAAATGTATAAGTACAGTATATGTGGTACCTCACTCATTAGTAGTATCTGTGAGGGGATCTTAGGATTCTAGTGGACGCTCATTTAAATATGAGCCAGCAGTATGCTGCAACTGCCAAAAAAGTCAACACAGTTCTACGCTGCATAAACAGAGGGATAGAATCAAGATCACATGAACTGTTAATACCACTTTATAATGCCTCAGTAAAGCCACATTTGGAATACTGTCTCTAGTTTTTACTCCATGAGGTAAAAAAAATGTTGAAACTCTGGAAAGAAGAGCAACAAAGATGATTAGGGGACTGGAGACTAAATATATATAAATAATGGTTGCTGGAATTTGGTATGTTTAGTTTGATGAAAAGAAGAACTAGGGGTGGCATGATAGCAGTGTTCCAATATCTCAGGGGCTGCCACAAAGAAAAGGGAATCAAGCTATTCTACAAAGAACCTGAGGGTAGGACAAAAAGAAATGGATGGAAACTAATCAAGGAGAGAAGTAATCTGAAACTAAGGATAAATTTCCTGAGTTAGAACAATCAATCAGTGGAACAACTTGCCTCCAGAAGTTGTAAATGCTCCAACCCTGGAAGTTTTAAAGAAGAGATTGGATAACAAATTGTCTGAAATGGTATAGGGTTTCCTGCCTAAGCAGGGGGCTGGAGTAGAAGACCTCCAGGTCCCTTCTAACTCTTTCTATTCTATACTATTTTCTATTCTCTTCCTATTTTATTCTTACTTTATTCTATTCTATTCCATTCCATTTCATTGTAGAAAACACGATAGGATATAGTATTAAAGGCATACTTCAGTTAAATAAGTATTCATTAGGTCAGTCTGATAATCAGAGTAAGATGCATACTTGTCTTCACTTCATGATTTTTTTCCCTAAGAGATGAAAACAAATCTGGGATCTTTAGAAGCATAAATTTCTGTTCTCCTAATGAACTGTAGATTCACATAAGAATGCCTGTTGGATCTGGGCTGCAAATATCCAAATGGGCACCGAATCTTCTGCAAAGATACAGGGGAAAAAAACCATTCAGCTTTCATTTAATAGTGATATGGAGTTTGGCAGCATAGACTTGATGGCTCATATTCAGGCTTCATGGTAGGGTCCCAGGGATGGGATCATCCTATATAAAGTTTGGATGAGAAGAAGGCAGCATGCACCATGGATTATCTCCTTTAATAATTGGAAAACATAATTAAGAGGGATAAGTTTTAGCCATAGAATTAGAAAGCTGCATAGGGAAGGCAAAAAGGATGAATACTGCTCCTCATTTAGCTGAAAGGGTTGACCACTGTGCTAGTATGCAACTGAGAAAGTTTGTATAATTTTAATATTGTAGTTTGTGCTCTTCACAGTGCACATCCCACATTTATCTTACAAAGCTGGCTACTCTAAAGAAACAATATATATGCAATGATTACAATGTATGCATTAAACAAGTGAGTATTTTGACCATATCATTTTTAGGCATATTTTGCACCTCCAACCATTATAAACTTGAATGCTTAGTGAATATAAGCATATCACGTGATGTGTATTTCTATAATAAAGGAGGGTGTGGCCTAATGAGATCAATATATCAAGGTGTGCTTAATTATTAGGTAACTTCTTTTCCTTAGGCAAAATGGACCAAAAGAGGTTTAAATGTCAAAAATTGTAAAAAGTTTTTCAGAGGGATGTGATTACAGAATCATCAAACTTTTGTAACAAATAGTCAACAGGGTTGCAAGAAATGTATTGAGAAAAAAAGATGTGCATTAATGCATCAAAGTGCATCAAAGATTTGAGAAGAATCAAACGTATAGCTACCAAAAAGCCATTATGCTTCAGTGCTGTCATATTCCAACCTACCTGGAGTGCCCAGAAGTACAAGATGTTCACTTACATTCAAATTATGCACCATTAAAAAGGCAGTGCCTCCAAAGAAGTCTGATGTCATGAAAATCCTATTATAGAATAAAGTGAAGTGGAATGGAGTAGAGTAGAGTAAAACAGAACAGAACACAATAGAATACTTTACTTGGACAAGTGTGATCAGACACACAAGGAATTGTTCTCTGGTGCAGCAGCTCTCAAATGTACATGAAAGGCAACAGAGAATGCTTTACTGGTCAAATGTGATTGAATACATAAGGAATATGCCTCCAGCCTTTAAGCTCACAGTTTAAACATAAACAGCAAGTAATAAGTCATAGATCATAAATCATAGTTAACAATCATTAGTTACAAACAAAAAATTGATAAATCATAAAAAACAAAAGGATCATAGTAGGAAAGATGAGAAATGAGACAGTAATATTGGAATTAAGTGTTCAGTAGAGTGATGGCACAAGGGAAAAAACTATCTGTAGGTCAATTACATATACAATAGAGATGGAAAATAGATTTGAACAACTGGACACTGCTGAGAAGATGTCTGGTGAACTGTAGCAGGAAATTCAATCAAATTATTGGAATTGCTGAAAAACACACAGAAAAAAAATGCAAGAGGCTCTCAGATGAAACCATCAAAAAAGCTGATCAAAGAAAAGCAGCCAAGGCATGAGGCAAATGGGAAGAAGATTTAATGCAGTTTTCCAGAGGGCAGCAAAGGATAATTAAATATATTGCGAAAAACGATGTAAAAAGCTCGAAGCAAACTACATGAAGGATCACACCAAGAATGTATTTTTGCAAGTCAAAAAGATCCAAATACCATTTATTGCTTGAAAAGGCATCATTAAAAACAAGCAAGGGAAAGAACTGTCTGAACAACAAGGCACCAAGAATAGATGGTAAGAATGTATTGAAGAAGTGTATGCAGGTAGCAAACAGGCCCAACCTCAGGATGATGAGGAAAAAGAAGTAAAAATAGAACTAGCCAACCTCGAGGAAGAGATCCTACAGACAATTAAGCAACTGCCAAACAGAGAGTTGACACTATTTCTGCGGAATTACTGAGACCTGTACTACTCAGTTTCATTAAAGACCTGTGTCAAAAAATCTGGGAAACCAAAACATGACCATAGGATTAGAAACATTCAGTGTTCATCCCACTGCCAAAAAGGGTGTCTCTAAAGATTGCTCCAATTATTGTACAATTGCTCTCATCCCTGATGTCAGCAAGAGTCTGCTTAAAATTATACAACATCTAGCACCAACCATCAAAACAGAATTACCAGATGTCCAAGGCAATTTCCAAAGGGGTCATGTTTCCACAAGTATATTGCAAATATCTGCTAGATCATGGAAAAATCTAATGAATATCAAAAGATCATTTACATCTGCTTCATCGATTACAAGAAAGCCTTTGATTATGTTAATCATGAGAAGATATGGAGAGACTTACAAGGCCTGAAGGTACCAACAAGCCTGGTCAAGTTGGGGCAATCACACAATCACAAAACCACTGTGAGAACACCAAATGGAGACATTGATTGGTTTGAGAGGGGGAAAGAAGTGTGACAAGGTTGCATTCTCTCCCCTTTCTTATTCAACCTATTTCCTGAAATGATCATGAAAAAACTAGATTTTGAAGAATCTAAAATTGGGGTAAAGAATGGTGGAAGGAACATCAATAATATTCAGTATACTGGTGATACAACTCTCCAAAACCAAAGAAGGCCTGGAACTGATCAAGAAAAAGAAAGAAAGAAAGAGAATTTCATGACCAATGCAAGGAAGAAAAATTTCAAAAGAGAAATTGATGATGAAGAGATAGAATGTGTGAAAAAATTCATTTTCCTAAGATCACAAATAGCTCAATGTGGTAAATGCAGCACAGGAATAAAACACTGGATTGTACTGGGTCGCATAGATGAACCTGAACTGAATATGAAAAAACAAGGACATCAGTCAGACAACGAAATGTAGATTAGTTCGTTCTATTGTGTTCCCCATAGCTATCTATGGTTGTGAAAGTTGGACCTTAAAAGATAGGAAGAAAAATTATTTGAATGAGCTGTGGTGCTGGAGAAAGCTGCAGTATATTTCTTAGATAGCAAAGGTAAGTAAAAAGCAAGTACTGAAGTACATAACACCAGACATAGAAGGGAAAACTATGAAACTGTGTGTCAGCCTCTACTTCGCTTGCTTGCTATCAGCTGTTTGTTGTTGTTGTTTGTTTTGTTTGTTGTTTGTTTATTATATTTATATGCTGCCCTTTCCCCCCGAAGGGGACTCAGGGCGGCTCACAACTCAAACCAG